TCTCTCTCTCTCTCTCTCTCTCTCTCTCTCTCTCTCTCTCTCTCTCTCTCACACACACACACACACACACACACACACACAAGATGTTGCATTGGTGAGAAAAACGGAAGGAGACGAAAGGTGGACCCGGGTGAAACTTACCACAAAACTTTGCTTGATGGTGGATTTAGCGCGCGCATTTCTCCCAATGATACACCACAGCTTGATTTTCCTGGACTGTCTGTCAATGCGGGCTTGGATAAAATTAATTTTTGAAAGAATCTGCTTACGATGATGATCATAAGTCTGTGCGCCTCTTTCTACTTTCTGTTCCTCGGCTTGCTTTCTTAGTTCTTGGAGCCTCTTCAGCAAGGCATCCCTTTGACTGTCATGACCTTGGCCTCCCTGTATAGCAGCACTATTGCCGTTCCCTCTTCCTCGCCCACTGCCTTTCTTTTTCCCTTTTGTTCCCGTCAACATCGATCTCGCCAGTGGCAGTGATGGCTCCACAATTTCTAACTTCCGCTTCTCTCCAACCTTGGCAGTTGGTGATGTCGGTGTTCTCAGGCTAGGTAAACCTAGTGGTTTCATGCTTGGTGAAGTTGGTGTCATTGACCCAACAACCACCTCGTCATGCGATTTGCGTCCATCACAACAGGCGTGCATTCGCCCAGTCACAACTGCTTGATCTCCTTCAGAATTGTCCACTGCTATTGGCATTCCGACGTTCTGCATCTCTCGGAGAATCTTCTTAATCTCTCTCTGAATCTTTGCCCTTGGGCATGGAAGTGCCTGTAGCTGCTTTTCAAGTGCTGTCTGTTCAACGATAAACCAGTGCCGTAAACACATTGAGCCATTTCTGTAGTCAGCACATTAGGCAGGCTATTGCTATAAACCATAAGCACAGAAAAGCAGTCATGTAAGCCCATTAAACCAGTGCTGTGAAAAATTGTTTGAGCCAGTGGTCTAATGTGTTCACAGCACTGGTTTTCGCGTGCGGTCTGTTCAATCATAAACCAGTACGGTAAGTACATTCAAAATGATTCAATCACTCCCGCTCTGGACTTCAATCAACACATCAAACCAGTGCTGTGAACCCCCCTAAGCACAGAGAAGCAATGCTGTAAACTTGACGTTGCGAACACAAGAAACCTGTGCTATAAACTACTGTGCAATGACCTGCACCATCTCACTCTGAGAGATCTGCAACTTGATAAGAAGTTGATGTCCTTTGATCTGCAAGGAAAATAAGCAACAGCGAGATGACAATCCCAGATCACACCATCACATTGCAAGTCAAATAGTCACACCGTGTCCAGATAGCAGCATTGCACCAATAATACACCAAAAAATGGAGTTTCGTAGCACTGAAAACCAATGTTTATGGAGAGCACACTCTATCCTCTTCAACACAAGTATCCAGTTCCCTTACACTCACACTTGGCGCTCAGCGCCCAGCCTACTTCTACACAGCTACTACAGACTACAAAAAGACAATGCAACTGTTGACATCAGCAGCAGCCCGAAGTACTTGAAGATGCCGCCCATGCAGACCATCGCCAATACAAGGTRCGTGCCCTCACATCATCATCATCATCATCATCCTTCACCTATCCCCTGACTTCACCCACCCCTGCCCTCTCTGACACCCGAAGAACCACCCCTGCGCCTCACTCTGTCCAAGCCAAGCCCGCTATGGAGGCTGGCTATGGCGCTGCCCTCAGCAGCGCCCTGTTCCCCTACACGACCGCACGTGTGTTGCCCCTTGCTCCTCYGCCGGCAGTCAGCCTGCRAGCTTTTGCTCCAGCAGCGCTGCYGCCCAGCCAGCAAGTGACCGAATGAGCTGCCTGGCMAGAGCTCTTTCCTTTATGGAAAAGAGCTGGCCAGCTCTCGCAGCCTGGCTGGGCTGGCCTGGGCCCAGCAGCTTCCGGAAGGCCCAAGGATGCTGTYTGGAWGCAGCAGCTACTGGGCTGCTGGGCCWCGTTCGGTTGGGCGCCCAACTGTCTCTGTATGAGGCTGCGAATCACGCCCAGGGCCTGCATTCTTTGGAAAGGCCCGGTAGGCCGTGGAAATGTCTTCGGTACTCGGCCTGTGTTTCTTTCAACCAACTGGCGCGTCGCAACTGCCTGGACCCCAAATATGAAATGGACAGTCGAGGGCCTCTTGCAAAAAGCCAGGCCCGCCTTCACCTAGGGCGGGCACCTCCGCCTTCACTTAGGGCGGGTAAGGCTGCAGACAGGGCCCCGTAGGCCTACCGAGGACACTGATCCTTGCAGATCTGTTTCGCTGCGATGTTTCCAAGTCTGTGTGTGTCCTGCTGACGATGCATGTATGCCCTTGTGCTTGCCTGTTGGAGTTCTGAGTCCATTTTCTGTGTTCTGTGTGCCAACACTGTTTGCCGTGCTGTGTTTCTTTATCTCGGAAAAGGGTAGGTTAGTAAATAGGCCTAGATTCAGGGAAAGGACTGAAATTTGACTTTAGGAGGACATATCCATAGCCATGGAGGTCTTCACGAAGAGCTCCACTTCACTTCACCCTCTACGCGGAGCAGCAGCTTGACTGCCGCGTGAATGCCCAGACTCCTCGCTACACCGAACGATATGCTCTTCCCTCATGACGTCCACTACGTCTTGGCCGAGGCACTTCCAGCTTCTACGCGGCCTCTCTAAAGTGCACTAGGCCTCACGGTTGTTCTTTCCTTTTGGAGGGAGCATCATTTCGGTGTGCAACTCACCTGTCAGGCCTGAATGTAGTCCTACAGCTATCTAAATTTGGGCCCTGGCCGTCATGACCTACTGGAAAGCTACCGGACTCTAGGGCCTCTTTCGAGATACCGGAAAATCTCTACTGGGTCCTTGTTGTATTCCGTCCCTGCCCCTGTCCATTCTATTCTCTCTCTCTCTCTCTCTCTCTCTCTCTCTCTCTCTCTCTCTCTCT